AAATCTTATAGACTTGGTAATTATGAAGGTTTGCTCTTTTATTTTATTTTTTAATTTAAATCTTGAGGTAAGTAGAATTTATTAAATCTTGATAATAGGACTTTTAAATTTAATATACCTTAGCGGATTTAAGCATAGCCTTCCTGCAAAATATACATAAAAGATTGAAAAGTGGCTTAAAAAAGTGGACTTGCACACACGAGATATTTAACCTTATGGCAAATCGCTTTTAGGTCATATAAAAGCCCACTAATCTTGGGCTTCATAAGGAATGGAAAGTCATTAGCCGAAAACAATCTCAAGTGTTTTCTGGCTCGTAATATTAAAATTCTATATCGGATAAAATGACTAGTTCAATCATTTTATTAGTAACTTTGAATATATTTTTTTAAAAGGTCTTATAAATGTAAATGTGGTAATGTTGATTTTAAAATATTTTTTTTAAAAAAATATATAGTAAAATAATATATTTTTATTTTTTAAAAAATATTTTTTTATATCACACATTAAAACTACTAAAGAAATATTAAAAAATTATTTTTAAATTTTAATAAAAAATAGATTGAATAACCCGGCAAAACACAAAAAAGTTTCCGATTTTTGTACCTCTTCTTCGTACCACTGCTGATGGCAATTGTCAAGTGTCAAGACTATACAATCATTTTCCTGCCCCACACTTCAATAATAGCTTGCTGGAAATTTATTATTGTTTTTTTTTTAATTTGTACTCGTGTGTTGCTTGTTCGTTCCTGGCAGCACTTCTTTAAACTTGTCCATAGAGATTTTTAGCAAGCTTTTTGATCGGTAAATCTTCTGAAATATCAAGTAGGCTATTCATATTCAAATTAACAAATTAAAAAAAAATGGTATCTTAGGATTCAAACCGTAATTTGGAAAATGATACATCTATAAAAAAGTATGGAGATGCTTTATTGTAAATTCTGATATTGTATGACAAAGTAAAGCTCCATAACATGATTCTTCTTCTTCTTCTTGGTTGAGAATATAACTTGATTGTTGTCTGGTAATTGTCTAACGATTGAAAAAGAGAAAGCTAAAAGAAAAGTATAAGGGTCATAATCCGTCGTTGATTTTCTGCCAAAATTGTCAGCCTTAATCCGTGAAGCGTATTTATAATTGAAGACTTTTGATTCAAAATCCCACTCTTGTACATGGATGGATAGATATTCACGTATCGAATTTCTACTTATCTACATATTATTTATAAGATAAAAAAAATTAGATATTCATCACTGAGGGTAGCTAGGGAAGGCTACTGGAATGTAATTTTATGCCATAAACTATTGCATTTCGAAGCAGAACTGCAAAAGCAGTGAGCAGCTGGAGCCTGACAAGTAAACCACAGCCACGGGAAAATCTTATTAACCAGCATTGATCCAACCTCCATTGTGAAAAATGAGCGAGCCCTACAAAAGGCCAGCTGGAGTTTATGGACAGATAGGTAAATCAAGTGCTGCAAATACTTAAAAGAGTAGGAGCTCAGATGAGTCTTGTATTCAAGAAACATGACGGCAACATAGTTCTCCTCCTGTTATTTTGTTTCTTAGATGCTGGTACATGACAAGTATACCAAAACGATTGTGTATATGAATGAAACAATATGATGCAGTCAAAGCCTCGCCCAAGCCTAGCTATCAAGATGAAAATTTGCAAGATTCTGGATATAGCACCCGCTTTCAGTAAATATGAAAAACGGAATGGTTCGAATTTTGTCATCCTCAAAATAGAGCAAATTTGGCAGCTTCAGAAAGTTAAGACGAGCCAGAAATTTGGTCCAACTGGTATAATAATTGAACCCCCTGAATTTCTCACTGATTCTTCCGAGGCTACCCTAAAATATTGTACACAATCCAAGTCAACCCAGAAAATCAATAGTATCCAAACTCTGCAAATCTCTCAGCACAGAAAGTTGTACATTTTGCAATGTACAAAAGGTTCCCATATGTTTTCATCGACACTGACAGAATAGCTTGCAAAAGTCGCAAACTAGAGAGAGAATGATTAGAAAAAAGAGCCTCCACTTCCACTCGAGCCACTGAAATTTCCCCCAACCATGATATCATATATAGGAAGAGCAGATCAGGAAGCGCGAGTGCATAAACCACTAAAGAAAGCAAGATGAAGAGTGGTGGGACCAGTTTGGAAACCATTAAGACTAAGTGTGCACGTATTCATAGAAATGGATGCATTTATAGCAGCGTCGGACACTGTTCCTCCCGATCAAATAGTGAATTCAGAATCATCTGCATGATAAAACAATCAGCGGCAGTGAATCATGAACAGATTTGATAAGAAACAGAAAAGCTTGAGCAGATAAAACACTAAACAGATTCAATATCAGGAAAAACGTGTAGAGAATATTTCATAAAATTCAGTCAAGATTGAGTGCATTTCATACCAGTACCAGTCCAATACCACATGCACAGCCCAAATCTTCTTAATCAGCACTAGATAAGACATGTCCATAAGAGTGTTAAAACCTTGACACAGATCAATTTCCAACACCCCATAGCATCTCTCCCTGGCCTTAACTAACTAATGGAGCTTTCCTTAGCTTATCAAGCTTCCGTTCAAAAACCACAACAGTGTCCTTCTTGCCCTCGTCAAGAAGATTTTGTTTCAGATTACTAAACAACTGTGCTGGAGGCCGAATGCCCACATCCAACATCTCCTGAAAGTACATGCAAGCCTCGTCTAGCTTACTCTCATGGCACAAACTAGTGATCAATGTAGAGAACATATGCATAACAGGAAGGATTCCCTTGGCCTTCATCTGATCCCAAACCTTTATTGCCATATCCACTCTATCCTCATTGCAAAACATCCTCACTATAATCTCATAGGTACTCACAGATGGCTCACATCCCTCACAACTCATTTTCTGGAAAACCGAATAAGCAATTTTAGTTTTTCCAGCTCTTATCAGATGGTGAAGTATAATATCATAAGTTCTCGCACTTGGACCAACCCCACCTTTTCTCATCTCATCAACCGTCCTCTGCACATCATCCATTCTCTCTGACCAACAATATGCCCCCACAACAGCATTGTAAGTAGGTGCCTCTGGAACAAACCCGCTAGCCTTTGATAGCTCAAAAAACTCAAGTGCTTCACTCAACCTTTTTTCAGCTCCCAATCCATTAATCAAAGTACAATATATGTGAGGACTAGGCTTACAGTTCTTCGCTTCCATCTCATGAAACAACTCGATTGCATCATCATACCTCCTAGATTTACAGTGGGCATTGATAAGAATACCGTAAGTGACAACATCCGGTTCAAAGCCCTCATCTTTCATTTCTTTGTAGACATCCATCAGCCGCGACAAGTTTTTCTCTTGACCCCACCCTTCTAGCAATATCGTATATGACTTAATATCAGCCACAAATCCTCTCTTATTCATTTTATCAAACACCAATTGTGCTCTCTCTACCTGCCTCGACTTGCATAAAGTATCAAGCAATCTATTAACATCGGATGATTCAATCTTCAATCCAAACTTCTCCATTTTCATAAATGCATCTACTGCCTCTTTAACTTTCCTTGCTCTTGCATATCTCCTTGAAATCAGTGCAAAAGTTTCCTTATTCAGTAACCCTTTTTGCTTCATGTCAGTAACTAAGTTCCATATAATGTTAAACTGCTTGATCTTTCCTAGTGATTCAATCAAGACATGGTAGCTCTCTGTGCTATATTGAAACCCTTTTTGCTTCTCTGCCCATCTAAAGAACGATAACGCAAGAGCACCTGCATTGCTAAGCTTCTTCAATGCCTCAAAAACCAAACTTGGTGACACTTCCATAGAAGCCTTATTGAGCAAAGCCTCGACGCTAGAATTAGGATTTTTGGATAATAATTTGCAGATATTTTCAGCGTCTTCAACGATTTTATCAGCCAAAACTTGTGGGGTTTGGTTGCTGGCACCAGTAAGGACAAGGGTTTGTTGTAAATCAGTATGGGTTGACTTGCGAACGATAAAATGTGGGTTTAACATAGACCCAAATGGATTCTCAATATTGGGTGTAGAATTGAGAGATAGAGTTTGGTTTTTGATGTTTACAAGTGATCTTAGGACATAAGGAGAGGAAGAGTAGAGAAGAGAGGGGTTATTTGGTGTTCTTGATAGAAAACTGGAGAATCGAGAGAGAGCCATCGTGGGAGAATCAAGTTTAGCGAAACAACAAAAGGAAGGGGAGAACTTTGAGGATCTGGGAGAGAGAGAGACTTTAGATTTTTAGGGTTTATGTTGGCGGACTGGAATTTAACGGACTCTTTAAGACAGCTGTCCTTCCTTGGGCCGCATCACGTTGGCTGGTCGGTTCGATTGACGAAAACATAAAATAACTTATTTATTCAACTTCTCAGATAAACGGCATATTTAAATACATGAGTATATTGTAAATTATTTCCTCTATTTTTTTAAATAAATTACATAATTTTAAAAATTAAGTAATTAATCACTAAGTCAATGTTGATGATCATGCTTAATTTAATACTTCTTTGCTTCAGAAAAATATCCTTTTTCTCCATAATCTTTCCATATTATCTTTTTTTTTTTGTATCTATATACTTCTTAAAACAAAAAAACAAATGAAGTAAATTTAAAAAAGATATGAAATTGACAAGAAAATGATACAAATAGATTTAGAAATAGAGAGACTACTTTTAAACCTAGAATGACTATTTAATTCAATTCGTTTCGCAAAACTAGACAAACTTATTTATAATTTACTCATAAATGTATTATATATATATGTATATAATACATCCCTGTCCCGCATCAAATTAGATAATTTCCAAATATATCTAATGCCACCGTTTCTCCTTCACGTGCACTCAATTTTCTGAGCACAAACATCAGGTTTGGATTGTTGCTTCCACTACGCCTTTTCAACGAAAATCAACTAGTTAAATGAGTTGTGATTTTCCAGATTTAAACCTTTATTGCCAACACAAACACAAACACGCGCACGCGCATATGAAGAGAGAGGATGCAAATAAGAATTTAATGAATGAGCGTCTGTTACAACTTTTTAAGAGTACTGAGAACAGAATGAACATACAAGGGCGTGCAGTGGCGGGCAGGGTAAAGAGGGAGGTCCTCTTATTGATTCGAACTGTTTACCAGTCCCCATGACAGGACACCATTCAGAAAAACCTCCAAGTGAATTCACTAGTTTCCCTTCGACTCTGCCACTGCCATAAACACTATCATAGCCTGCGTGCGGAGTAGCCCAATAAATGGACCTAAACACCAAAGAATCAACGTCTATTGATGTTAATTCTCCTAACTGGTTGACAAAATTCAGATGCCAAAAAAACTGCACCTAGTCTCAGACAATAAACCTTTAATATATGCATTTTTCATTTGCACTGATTCATCTGTGAGTTCCATTCATCAAGAAGGTTTTTAATGGTCTCCTTGAATTTCTTAGCCTGAGGACCTGGCTTCACAACATTGACATCACCCCATTGAGAGCAAGGATCAATCCACCAGGTCCTCCGGCCAGTGCACCATGCACCTGGGGCAACTCGATCATGCCCACGCTTAAGGATCTTCTCATCCACCTTGTCTAGCACAGGGTCATCCTTCTGAAACTGCCTTGCAAAAGCCACTCCACTTTGAACCATGAGATCATAATCAGATGTATTAAGAAAATGTGGTTCCATCTTTGGAGGATTGTCCCAGACCATATACCTTAGATCACTGTTTAAAGTTGTGTTCTTAAACTCTGGTGCATTGCAAATGACAGAGTGGAAATAGCTTTCTTCAGATAAGACCACATTGTTGAAGTACATAAGAAGGGTTCGAGGAAGATTATCCCAACCAAGAACACAAAATTCAAGAAATGACCTGCTCAAGATCACCCACGGGGAACCTGCAATAGGAGATATCTGTTACCACACATAAAATTTTCATGAAAGTAAAGCATACATACGCACAACTTTAATTTTAGTTGCATAAACAGCACGCTGTGGACAATAGACTTTGCCTGTGAATACTTTGAAACCATCAGGAGTTGGCCGCTTCTCTGTAGCATGAAATATCTGGCTCCTCCTGGCTAGGTAAATCCCTGGGTCAACTACAATAGGCTGAATTCTTTGAGATCTACAACAAAGTCAAACCAATAGAACTCAGATATAACTAAATCTTTGTGCTGCAGAATTACAATAAAAATTCGTAAGAAGAGGTTGCCTACTCTTTCCACCCAAGGTCACTGGTGTGATCTATGAAATTGAGGTCTCTGCTAACAGAGGAGAAAACATGGGACAAGTCTGCAAGATAACAGAAGAAAATATTGGAAGCTCGGAATTCTATCATATGAGGCAGCATGACACCACACGGTGAGGTCATAAGTGGAAATGAGTGGAATTATTTTCCAAAAGCCTAAAAGATTTTCAACACTTCAGTATATCAGATACTGGAGGCTTGTTTGTGAAATACAAAGCACATAGGAGAAAACAGATTCAAAACCATTCTGCTAGTAAATAGAGACAGTTATTAATTATGAGCTGAGATTCCCATATAACTTGGATGAGTTTCTAACCATTGGACAAGTTAAATCAGATTCAATTTTTACACAACAATCATCTGCATTCTTAAGCCTTCCTAACCATTCAATTGTGCAATATTGCCAAGGACAACATTGCATTATGACTTACAGAGCAGGGAAGGCCACACACATGAACATAATGCTGACGCTACAAAATCTCCAACACATATCAAATGTATAGTTCTTTCGTACAGCTATGAAAAGGCATTATCACATTGATGCATTCAGAACCTCTCTGGCCCACATATTTTTATCACCAGAAAAGAACCAGACTCCAAATCAACAAGAAATCAACAAGGGGTTATCAGAGGTATAGACAGCTCATCAGCAACTCTTCATACCAACAATAACTGCTAAGGAGACCCTTATTTCTGCAATGATAAAGGATGGGACTGTAATATGCTTTTATACAGCTGTGAAAGTGCCTCAGGCATGTGCATCATGCAGATTGGATTCCAATAAACTCTTTTAAACATTAGATTTCATGGGACATGAAGTCACCAACCATTCCAGAAGTATGAATTAATATGCAAAACCTTTTATGGATATAATCTAAACAGTATTTATAGTCTTTTATCCAATCACATAATTGTTTTGAAACTGCTTCTGGTACATATTTCCTCTGTCATAGCCAAATAGCTTTGATGCCCTGTCAACACTCTAACCTGAAAAATTCAAAAAACCACTACGAGAACTCTAATCAGTCTTTGCTCTATCGTGTCTTTTCGAAATAAAAGCTCTTTAGCCAAAAAAAAAAAAAAAAAAAGTTACTCGATTTTTAAGAAGCCTACGCTGAGGCCTCTTCACTTCTTGTCACCTAGCTTAACTCACAATATTCAACACACTAGCCGGTCTAGACATAGCTATGAATCTAAAAATTGATGAAAACATCAAATATGCATTTTCAAAACCGCCTTTATTCAATCCCTTTTCAAATAACATCCTAGATAAAAAATGCACAAGTCCTCTTTGAAAAAAGATAAGCAACTTTAAGCTTGCACAGGTCATTTGAACACCCTCATCCTCGGTAGTGAAAATGAAAAAAGAGTAGCAGTTAAGGCAAGTTCTATAATGATATCTTGGTCCCAATCAGAAAAAGAGCGTAATTGATGCACCAAGGGCATCCAGGAGGTATTTTAGACTAAAACGATTGTGTAAGCCCAAATATCAAATCATGATTTCTCTCATTTAACTTTTGTTAGTCAACTTGGTATTTTAGATTCCCAACAACCAGTCAACCCCAACCCTTCCCCTCCGAAAACAAAAAAATCCCTTGCAAGCACGCATTTTTTAACACAAGATTGAAAGACCTACATCAGGAATACACTAAAGCCCATTCACAGTAAATACGACAGTGTAAATGTAAACCTGCAATTCTTGTGATCCTGGAAAAACTTTTTACAACGGTATCCATCAACATGTGCTGTGAGTGAGGTGGAATATCCAAAAGGCCACTGGTTTAGCTAATAAGCAAATATCCTTACTTAAGTAAACCTCATCCTGACACCAAAAAAAAAAAAAACCTGCTTTAAACTACAAAGAAGGACGAATGAAGAAATCGTATTTAGCTTCCATCTAAACTGAGAATTCAAACAGCCTTTCAGAGGCCAATGCACATAAGCAGAATGGGGTTGGAACTTGTACCTCCATCAACCTACTCTAGCTCAGGTCACAAATAAGTGTGCATCCATGGTTACAAGTTATAATGTGGTGGTCCTTGTCCTGGGTAGCATGAAATAATTATTAAGTCAAGCTTTAATAAAAACTTCCGTTCTTGCAAAATCATCCTTCATTACTCCTGCATGGAAGATACTTCACTATATTCTCAACCACCTTCTAGCAGGTTCAATAGAAGCTTCTTTTGTGAGGGTTTTTCACAGAAGTTGTCCAATCCTAGGTCTAACTACAGCATTACAGTTAGCTGCAGGGTTATGGCTAGCTGCATCATTTTTATATTGATAATTTAATCTGTTCTGGTAAACAGTATACTGTTCAAGTCAAGCTTTGATGAAAAATTCCGTTCTTGCAAAATCAACCTTCATTACAACTGCATGGAAGCCTACTTCACTGTATTCTGAACCACCTTCTAGCAGGTTCAATAGAAGCTTCTTTTTGTGAGGGCTTTCCCACAGAAGTTGCCCAATCCTTGGTCTAAAAAGAGCGTTAAGGTTACACTCAGGGTTATGGCTAGCTGCATCATTTTTATAATGGTAATTTAAGCTGTTCTGGTAAACAGCATACTGTCACTGGATTACAAATTATTGCACCAGGAATATGAATCCAGGATCTTTGCACAGAAGTGTGCATGTGTTAACGATATTTTCTCCCCATATCAGATCCTAACAACATTGTGACCTATAAGGTATCATTCATGTTGGCTTCTAATACATTCTGGACAGCAGGCACCCTTGTCTGAGGTAGTCAAAGAACAAGCAGCCACATTTTAAGTGTTACGGTTCGATAAAGTCATCTAGCCTACTCAAAATTTTCATAGGCTTCCTAAATTATTTCTGTTGTGAAAACAACTATGACAACTAACAAGAAACAGAAAGCACCATTTCTTCAAGTCATATCCAATAATTACCAAAGAACGACAGCAAACATCATATTTCAGAGAATAACATAAAAATGTCAAATATATCCAAAACGCTAGGCAAAATATGAAATGCAAAAGTCAACTATGCTTAAAATAGCAACAGGCCATCATGCGTCCTTTCCATTGAGCTTTAAGATGTGAATGCAAGAGATTCCTCGTTCAAGAGTCAAAACGAAGAAAGCGAAACTTAAATAGATGCACGGATAAATTCTAAATGAACCACTAAATTTAAATCCAAGTTATTTTTCCAGCATCTGGTCGCAGTTTCATACTCAACCAAAAAAATCCAGAGAGGAACAAAACCAACAATCAAAATTAACAAAAAAAAAAGAAGCATACCATCCTGAGTTACCAACGGATAATCCACTGCACTCAAAGACACAAACCACGTCCACCCAGCATCCATCCTCAACAAAATGGCAGCAGCACGCAAAATCGCGGCCAGGTTAGAAGAACCCATGTAGGTAAGTCTGCCAGGTTTCCCAACAACGTCCACATTCCCAAAACTCCTAATCGCAGGCACCGCATTTACAGCCCCAATAAGCTTCATTCTCTCCTTGTCAGATGCCTCGGCACCCAAATGCAATAAATAACGGTTTCTTGGGTGATAAACTGCCAGCAATAACCTAAGGATCCGATCCTTATCACCCCTTCCACCTGAGATATAATAGGCAAAAGCAGGAGGGTGGTGGATTCCATGGTGAATTATAGAAGGGAACTGTTTAGAGGAACTGAAAGCAGAGATTGAATAGACCAAGAGAAATAGTAATGAAAGAAATGCTGAGGAGAAGAGAGTGAAAAGCCATCTTTTCTCTGCTCCCATGATAATAATCCCAACAACACTACCAATGTTGAAGCTGCTCCTTGTTTTTGATGATGGGGCATATGGTGGTGCAAATCAAATCCCAAGTTCAAACCTTTCAGCTAAATTTGAGGTATAGGTAGAAAGTAGAGAGATGGATGTGCATCAAAATCAAGTCTTTTTTTCACTGTACTTCTTGAGATTAGATGGGAAACAAAGATATATCGATGGGTATGGATCAATAAAGACCGCTAAATTTTGGGTTTTGAAGCAAGATGAAGAGATGGGTAATGGTCAAATGAATCGTATTGGATTGACTTTAGTGATTGAGAGAGATGGGTTTGCGGGGATCTTGATGGCGAGCTCTGAGCTATGAGTGAACGACGGTGCTAAACTGCTGATGGTGAAAAATATTGGGGCAAAAAAATAAAGGACCAGCACTAGATTACAAACAACCTGCAAAAAAAAAGAGTTATTCCTCACCCTCTTTCAAAAGAGACAACTCTATGGACTCGTAAATAAATATTTTAATCTTTTTTCTGTCAACTCTACTCCGCCCCCTGTATTCGCCGGAGTTACAATTAGGCACGGTTTAGAATTACGGTTCAATTATTTTGTTAATTTTTTAAAAAAATTATTTTAATTATTTTTTATAATTTTAATGGATTAATATAAAAAATATCAATTTTAATATATATTTAAATAAAAAAATTATTTTTCTTGAATAAATTCTTAGATTTTATTTGTTATTGTGTTCCAACCATATTTTTTAAATTTTTTAAATTTTAAATTATTGTTTTTAAATTTTTTATATGTTATTTAAAAAAAAAACTTATAATTTACTGTCTAATAAGCTTTTAATAGTGTTAGTTCTGTGATGAATGGAAAAATAAAAATGGAGTTATATGATAATGGATTGATTTTCTTCTTTGAAATTATTTGATTTTTTATCTAAAATAAAAAAAAGTTTAAATTTATATTTTTTATTATTAATATAAGTATTTGAATGAATCTCAAAATTAATAACTATATAAATCTCTAATAATTTTAAAATTTATAAAATTTAAATTCATAATTTTTTAATAAATAAATCTAAAATCTAACTAATTTATAACATTAATATTATAATTTACATCTTTTCATGTGACCACAACAATTATTTTTATTTTTTTAGCGTGATTATGATGCGCCATAAATGGAGAATAATTGTCTTTTTCAGGGTATGAACCCTTCGATTATAATGATGAACCACATGTTTTAAAAAAAATTCTCATGAAAGAGTTTTTAGACTAGGATTGTTTGACTAGTATACATTATCATATCAGCATCTCACATGAAAATAATTGTTATAATTTTAACAAGATTATTTTAATTCCATAATATTATAATTAAAATTAGCTAAAACTAAAAATTGAAATTAAGGGACCAAATGAAACAGGTATCAGAAATGAGGTGGGCACGATAACCATAATTAAAGAGAGAAAATAAAAAAGAAATAATAGGATGTGAAAGATACACTGAAACATTAATAACAATGTTCTTGACGCTATAAAAATATCTCAACAAAATAAATAAAAATATATATTAAAATGATAAAAAAATACATAAAAAATAATTTATTTTTCCGTACAATATTTAGACCGCATTCCCAACATATGAGGCACACAAGCTAAGCATGGAGGAACGAAAGATAATCCTTTTCATATTTGTGGTTTATTCAGGTTATAATATCTAAAATAAATACAAATCTAAATTGAAAAGGTAGATTATTTAAAATCTCATTTAATTATTTTTTATTGACCGACTGAGTTGATGGAGGAGTGGAAACAGGAGGTTGGTATTATTGTAAATAAGTCCAAATGAGAAAAACAAAAGTTGAGTCAGGACAGACGATTTTAAAATTCAAATGTAAGGCGTCATGGTGCAGATGGACTGGGTTTCCAGTTCACAAGTCTTCGGTTGATAAATGGGTGGTTTCACTTTGATAGGGATTTATTAAGGGAAAAAAATTCAGCTCTCGTCATGAAACATGTTTTAATAATGTTTATTTTTTTTATTTTTTTCTGATTTATATTTTTTCTATTTTAATTTTGTGTTTTATATTATGCTTATTGGAGATTCAAGTTTCAATTTCATAATTATTTTAATTATTTTTATAATATTACCTTAGTTTAATAACCCACGTTTAATAAATTAGTTTGAGTTTTTTTAATTTTTTAATTATTTTTTATTTAATTATTTAATTAAAATTAAAAATTATAATTTATAATTTATAATTTATATATTTTTTATATAATTTTATATTATATTTATCTTAAATTATTTAATTAAAATTAAAATTTATAATTTATAATTTATATAATTTTATATTATATTTATCTTATAATTTAGACTATAAATTTAATATATTAACTTGGATTAACTTGAATTATTTTTAATTATTTTTTAATTTTACCTTTTAATATTAAATTTATTAATAATATAGTTTTATAATTTCTTTTTCAAATTTTTTTTTTTTAATTGTTTGTCCTATTCTATAGAGTAGACAAAGGGCAGGGGCTATCATGTGGATACCATTCCAGTCAGTCCAGGTAGTCGATAAACACTTGCTGATTACTGGGATGTTTTTTATTCTCCGCTGTGTTAGGAAAACAAGGAATAATTCCTTTTTAAAAGAAGAATAATGACGAGTACTGTTAGAAGCTTCAATGAACTTGCTGAATAAAAACTCTTCATGGCACTGCATCCCTAATCTTTGACTAGAAGCACCTCTGTTCTCTACTCTCGCTCAAAACAATTTTCTCAGCCACTCCTACTTATTATGGCATCACTATTGTTATCACTGGCCATAGGAACCTTATATTTACTGCTAAATGGAGTGAAGGTCGTGCTGAATTGATGGCCGACTACCTAGCTACATGTAGAGGTTTGGTGAGCTAAATTGAGAAGAAACAAACAAATACCTTGCAGTGGACAATGTTAGGTAGAAAATTAAGTAATGTGATAAACAACTTCAGGCAGTCACCTATTTTTACACTTCATTCGTCGATTTCTTTGCCATCCATCTCGGATGAACGATCCATGATGTTTGGTATGAATCTGCAACTTCTCTGGCATCCCTCAAAAAGATTCAGATTCATGAACCCTACCATCCCATGAAGAAAATAGATATATATGTACACGCACGCACGGCAGTTATCTTCTGTCAAATGTTTTGTTTCTTCGCCCCCACTGTTCCACATCCATCCCTTTCGTTTAATCTCAAAGTGAAAAAAGAAAAACGAGTAAGTAGATTAGCCCACCAACTCCAGGGTTTGAGCTCTCCTCCTCTCCTCTGTGACCGAGAGAAAAATCAAAGTAAGGCGCCCGCCTCGATCATAATTAAAGGCCAAACGTTTTTAATGCAGGAATTGACAAGTGGCAACAGCCATTGCTCTTTTCTTTTAAAATTGTTGGTGTCCGGGCTGACATACAAGTATTATGACTAAGTCTCTGATACTCCAAGATAATCATGTATACTTCGGTTATTTTAAAATTTGTAGCGCTCTAAGTGATGATTTCTTTGGAAAAAAACCAGAGGATAACTAATTGAATTATACTTTGTAGAGGACCTGACCAGGCCTGAAGTTAACGACTCATTACCTCTTTTTTACAGATCGATGCACTGGCCTTACCGTATGGTAATTGATAGCAGTTTCTGCCATGTTACTGATTGCTTCAGCAACAGCGTCGAAGCTGACCAGTCCCCTCGGAGGCATGATCTTCTGCATCGTAAGATAAGAGCGTCCGTCCAGTCACTTTGATTTTAGGGAGTCTCGACTTTTGCAAGTCCTTGTCAAACTTAACCACACTAGTAGGATTGCAACCAACCAAGACAACGAAATCCAAAACCAACCTTCCAAAATTTCTTTTATAGTTCAAATACAAATCTTGTCGTGTTTGTTCCTGCCTTGTTCTGGAAAAATAAGAGCTGTTTGCTTGATATCTGCCATGAAAGAACATGATGGTATTATTGCATAAGATAATGTATCTCATCAAAGAAAGAAGGTAAGCAAAATGCCCTCCCACTCTAACAGGAATGCTTTTAATGTATATCTAGATAGATGGTTTGTGATATGATGCGGCCATAATAATTGTTTGTCAATGTAAAGAAGAGTATTCATGCAACTGCAACATTTCAAAAGAAGTACAAAAAATCTAAGAATTTAATAACCGAAAAAGATCGCATGGTAACTTGAAAAACAAACAAAACACAGCAAAGCGAACATCTAATACTTACTCTTATACAATTAATTCAATTTAATAAAAAAATAAAGCCTAAATTAAAAAGGTAAAAAAAACACAAGTTAATCATTGTTACTTTCAAAATTATAAAAAAAAATCTCATATAAAAGAAATACAAAAAAATAACAAAATGTTGGTGAATGAGATCACGAAAAAAAAACCTTAAAAAATAAATAAAAAAATAAAGCAAACTCATGTTAGTTAACTCAAGTTAGTTTTTCAAACTTGCAATTCATTAAATTATAAACTTCGACTCAGCTAGGAAGTTCAATACCCTCTCAATTAAATATTGAATAATAAATTTAATAAATTTAATTTAATTTAAAAAATCATTTTGAAAAGGCTAGATTTAACAAAGATCGGCAAACAAAATTGAAACAACCATTGTTATGATGAAACTTAAAAAAGAAGAGGAAAAAAAAAACCAATGAAGTTTGGATGACTTTCTTAAATTGAAGTTAGTCACTTAATTAATTACCATACTCAAGTTTAACTAGAAAGCCAAACATCTACCTAGTTAGATGTTGTAAAATGAAATTAAAAAAAAACAATTTAAAAAATTTGCAAGGTAAAGAAATAACAACAATAAAAAAAATAGATTTAATAGGAAAAAACCTCAAGAAAAATGAAATTATAAAAAAATAATTTAAAAAACTATCTTAATTAAAATGAATAATAATCAAATTTAACATATAAAAAAATATACAAAAGATGAATTTGAAAAAAAAATTTTAATTTTATAAATTATTCTAAATAGAAAAAATTACAATAAAGATAACAAGGATGAGATCTTAAAAATAATAAATCCTGGGAGTTTATTTAAATTTTTTTTAAAAGCTAATATGCAAATCCATTAAGAGAAAGAAAGAATAAAACAAAAGGCCACAAAAACTCAATTCGTAACAATTATATCACACGTGATGACAAAGAGGAAGCATACCAAGATAGTTCAGGTGCTACCTGAAAGTAAAGTTTATTAAGAGAGCGGGCCAACACGTGTTTTTTTAAAAATTTAATCTGTTTTTAATATTTTAAACTATCTTAATATATTAATATTAAAAATATTTTTTAAAAACATAAAAAAAATATTCTTATAATATATTTTAAAATAAAAAATACTTTAAAAAATAACAACCACACCAGCACCGTACTAAATATCATCACTACATTCTACTTCTACTGAATAGCATCATCACTACATTCTAC